TTGCTTACGTGTTTTGTTTTTTAAATGAAATAGCAAATATATTGAGCTTTTAAAATACTGGCATGCCGCAGCTTGCATAATAAAGCAATTTGTACCTAAAACATTCATGTCCAGATATTCTTTTAATACAAATCTGTTAAGAGGACCATGCATCTGTAATTTGTTCCTCTTGTGGTTGTAAAGCTTATTAGAAATCTAGTACTGTCAAATGTAAATACTTTTTTTTACATTCTAATGTAGTTCCAATATTTCTGACTCCCAGGGCACTAAAGTATCTTTACCCCACTGTTTTGCCTTCAAGATTTACTACATTGTTGCATAAAATTCATGGTTTATGAAATGTGAAAGACAAAACATACTGATTGCCATCTTGTACTGTTTATTGTTGGTAATGATATTGGTGTAGTAGCTGAAATCATTTTGCATGTTTTGTAGGTTCGCACTCTGGGAGAAGATGCAAATATGGAACAGGGAAGGTGAGAAAAATTAAGTGTTAGATTTGAAATGAAACGTGCTTCCTTGGTCTCTTCCTTGAACAGGTCTAGAAGCAATGATGGCCCAGCAGCACTCAGATCTTGACTTCCAAATACCATCCTCCACCAAAAGAATTGAAGAAATAACCAATTCTGAACCTGGACAGGAAGCTATCTTACTATATATAGCCAAAGGCAGGTAAGCACGCCAAGACTGATAGGCACAGGTGGAAATGTCAAAAGTGCTTACTGGCCAAAACTTAGAACAAACACAATATATATATATTTTTAGAAATGTATGAATTTACAATGATAGTAAAACAAAACAAAACAAAAAAAGGGTAGGTGGCAGCAAAAAAAAGAGTGCTTTTTGTAGAACGCCAGCTAATAAATGTACAAGGAAAGCTAGATTTAGAAAATCCCTTGTGATCACCAATAGGATAAATAATTTATTCAGCCACAGATTGTCAGTGAATGCTAAAACCAGAGTGAACAGGCTATCCAAATGGTCTCCAAGTTATCTGCTCCCAGATCACTTACTAAAAAATAGGAATTATTAAAATGGAAAGTGATCAAATTAGCAATGTGACAGGCTGAGATGATGTGGCTTCCTGATGTGATGCAATGAAAAGGTCACAAAGCATGCTGTGTATATAGTCTCTTGCTGAAATGTTTAACCTGAACCCATTATAAGCAAACAAATGAACAAATCAGATTTCTGTAAGTCAATTAGCCTGACTTTTCCAAAGTGTCAATTTCAAAAGAGATTAAAAAGGACAGAGGAATTAATTGTTCTTTTAAAAAAAAAAGAGAGAGTACACAGATATGTAATAAATCAAATGATTCCTAGATGAAAATAAAAAAGCTATGAAGAACATTTTGGGGATGATCAGAAAATGTAAATATATTCTACATTAGAAAATTCTGAATCGATGATAAATTCATTGGAAGTAATGACCCATAACCACCACAAGGTCAGCAGTTCAAACCTACCAGTCACTCCTTGGGAACCCTATACATGGTTGCTGTGTCAGAACTCAGTGGCACTTAACAACAAATGATTGTATTAGGACCGTGTAGGAGAATGTCCTTATTTTTCAGAGATGAGTGCTATAGTAGTAGTAGGTAAGGCATGATGCTACTTCTTTCTAAAGAAATGCGCTTTTATAGTGATGAAGCAAAAGTGACAAAATCGTAATTGTTGAATATAGGTAAAGGATATAGAATCATATCCTTTATTCAATTTGTATGCTGAACAAATCATCTGAGAAGCTGGATTAAATGAAGAAAACATGGCATCAGGGTTGGGGGAAGACTCATCAGCAACTTTCAATATACACATGTCACAAAGTTGTGAATAGGAATTGAAATACTTACTGATGAAGATCAAGAACCACAGCCTTCAGTATGCATTGCACCTCAATGTAAAGAAAACAAAAATCCTCACACCTGAACCAATAATTAACATTATGATAAATGGAGAAAAGAGTGAAGTTGCCAAAACCTTCATTTTGTTTGGATCCACAATCAATGCTCACAGAAGCAATAGTCAAGAAATCGAACAATGTGTTGCATTAAGCAAATCTGTGGCAAAAGACCTATTTAAAGTGTTCAAAAGCAAAGATGTCACTTTGAGGACTTAAGTGCACCTGAATATATCCATGGTATTTTCAATCACCTCACTTATGTGAAAGCTGGACAATGGCTAAGGAAAAAGATAGAATGTATGTATTTGAATTATGGTGTTGCCGTAAGAACAAACAAATCTGTCTTAGAAACATAGCCAGAATGTTCCTTAGAAGCCGTGATGGTGAGACTTTGTCTCTCATACTTTGGACATGTGTGAGGAGGGACCTGTCTGTGGAGAAGGACATCGTGCTTGGAAAACTGGGGGGAGGAGGGGAAGGGTTGAAAAAGAGGAAGATGCCCAATGTGACTGATACAGAGAAAGCAACAATGGGCACATGTATAACAATTGTGAGGATGGCACAGAACTAGGCAGTGTTTTAGGGTCTCTATGAGTTGAAACTGACTTGACGGCACTTACCAATAACATATATGATTATTTCACTGTAGTGTACTTAAAACTTTCCTGTAAATTTTAAATTCTTCAAAATAAAATGGAAAAAAATGAAGGAACTGGATACCATGAGGATCATTTGAAAACTTCAGAAAACTGAAACACCTGTCAATTTTAACCAAGCCCAATGAAAAGCCAGGAGTGTTTATAGTCTAAACTGATAAACCAAGCCAAGAAGACAAATTCCTAAACTTCCTGTTGCCTATTTAGACATGTAGCTGGCAAGTGGTATAAAGGAACTGGTAAATGGGAAACCCTACTCGGAAACCGAATCGGGCTGTGAACCGCAAGGTCAGCAGTTCGAAACTACCAGCTGTTCCGCGGGAGAAAGATGAGGCTTTCTGCTCCCGTAAAGATTTACAGCCTCGGAAACCCTGTGCAAGGTCGCTATGAGTCGGAACCGACTCCACGGCACACAACAACAACAAACCGGAAACCTACACAGGGTTGCTATGAGTCAACAACAGCAACAAAGTACCTTAATCCACTTTATCAGCAAAAGATAGCAAGTGAAGATAAAAGACAAATCTTTTTCCCTTCTTCTAAATTATAATTCTAAGGAGTAAAGGATTGGCAGAAATGGTTTTTGAAATTATCTTGTAAAAAGTTGGCAGAAGGATGAAACGAAATGTTTTGTCCTTTAAATCTAACAAATTATATATATATATATATACAAAATAGATAAAAATCTCTATTATTTTATAAACCTCCCAAACTGAGAAAAGTGCATCACCAGTATGGTGTTTTAGCTCTTAATAAAAAAAACTTATCCCACAAAGATTTTCCTTCCTTCAACTTCTTTTCTGATAGACATGGAATAAGCCACATGGCTAATTCTATCAGCACATAAAATGTTCCCCTAAATATTCAGTATTCTCTCTATACCAAATGCTTTCAAATTTATAGTTGCATCTCAAATGCTAACAAATGACTGAAAAGCACAAAGCTGGAAAATACTATAAAACTATTAAACCTGAAAAAGTATTTTTTACCCAGTGGGTCATGATTTTATGTTAAATTTAAAAATCAACCATCTCAGTTCCCACCACTTCCCTCTACTTCCCTCTGAAATCCCAAACAAATACAGCGAAGTTAATGACTACGTGGTGGGATAATCATTCAAACTGTTTAATCTCCCTTTACACATTATATTAACATTCATATTGCAAGGCATTCCATTCACAAATATTACAGTTTGTTAAAAATGTCACACACATACCCCCAAAAAAGTCTGTACCAGATTGGATCACTTTACTAAATCATTAAAATAATAAAAGTAATGAAAATATTATTGTAGTTCTTTTTAAAGCAATGAAGGTCTGAGGCACTCTGGGAAAGATGTTCTACAAATATCATGTGTCAGTGTATCAGATTACATTACAAGCAAGTCATCCACATCCAGTAATCAAGTACATGCTAATGATAATGACTTCATGTTATAATGTATCTTCATCAGATAATTCTATTTGGACTGAAATATTGGTAGGACTAGAAGTACAGAGCAGCTGAGATGCTTCTAATGAGCTTCCCAACTATGCAAAGGTGTGTTTTCAGCACATAACTGCCTCTCCACTGCCCAGGAATAGGCCTCAAAGTCTTTTCCTTTTCATCAGTGCCAAGTATGCTAAGTGTTCCAGGGGAAGAGAAGGAACCCTCCTTCCCATTCTGACCCCAAAAAACAGTATAATACACAATTCTCATCTGTGCCACAGATAGACACCACTTGGAGCATGGCAATGTTTGCCATAAACTAGAATTAAGAAAAAAAAAAGCCTTCCAAAGTGAATTTTGCCACATTCATTCACCGACACACCCAGTCCACACTGGAAAGTCTCACTGTCTTAGTGCTTCCTTAAGCACAATTTACAAAGATAAGTAATTAGAGCATGGGGAGTGAAGGGTCAATTCCCAGGCAGGAATTAAATTACTGCAACTATCAGTCCACTTGTGACAGCATCTAGTCCTGTCAGAGAAGAATCAACACAAATCCCAGGCCACATAGTGTTCAGTAATTACATATGGAATTTAAAATGCATACATGTATATTTTCACATATATAATTAAAAAAAAATCTGGAGCAACATGTTGCTAAAGTTTCAAGAATTTTCATTTTCAACGTTGAACTGGTAAGCAGCTGGCTCTTGTCAGCTGGTTTATAGCAGTGAGAAATGCCAACTAGAAGCAGGTTTAAGTAAAAGTGCTCAAAGGGCAAATGAGTAAATGGGGTGCAGAGATTATTTGGGTAAAGGGATTGAGAAATTTTTCCTTTATTCTCGGTTTTTCCAGAACCAAGACAAGTTCTTGAGAATACACATCAAATGCTGTAGTTTATTATGTATGATCAAAACAAAAACAAGTGATAAAAATCTCCTCTTCCTTTCTGTACTCTCAATAAAATGAAGATTACAGAAAAAAGGAATTCTTGAGATGTGCCACCTTGGGAGAAATTAAAATTGGGACATGAAGTGAGGCCGTGCATTTTCAAATCGCCGAGTGAGAATCTCACAGCCAGTGTCTGTGACCAGGAGCGTGTGCTCGAACTGCGCAGAACGCTTCCCATCTCTTGTTACTGCGGTCCAGCCATCTGGCCACGTTTCATCCTGCCATCCACCTTAAACAAGCAAAGACAACATCTTAATTTCAACGTGCAGTTATTTTCTAAATAACTCTGAAAAACTCACTGCCACTGAGTCAACTCCAACTAACAATGACCTTGTAGAGTTTCTAACATGGTAAAACCTTCACAGGAGAGCAGACAGCTTCATCTTTCTCCCTCAGAGCAGCTGATGAATTTCAATAGTCAGCAGTCAAATGCCTAAACCCACAGTTCCACCTGCACTTCTTAAATAAACTCTCTAGGTAAGTATATTTGTATGTACTCCTACATCCCTGGATATCAAGCAGAGAACTCAATAGAAAATTCACTATTTAGATTCCTAGTTACACTTCTACCTTAATTGTTTTAGTTTTCCAACTCCATTTTTGTCTTTGATACCAATGAAGTAATGATAATGTATAAATTTCCAGAAATGTGTTACAATTTATCATTTTTAATATTGCACAAATATATAATAAAGATGGTATTTCCAAAATAAAGACAAAGGCGTACTGAACAAACAACATGGCAGATTGGGGAGAAATGCAGTGAGGATCTCCGTCGGCAACAACACAGAATACCAGACCTAGCAGGCTCAGGGGATGCTCGCAAAACTCTGAACCACATATAAAGGCATATTTAGAAAGTTGGAAGGCTTACGGCTAGTGGAATTTGTAGCAGAAGCAAGAAATCCAGTGCTTTCTAATCCAAGGTGCTTAGCTGCTCCCTGAGCAGCCATCTTGGAAAAGATCAAACCAGGGAAGGATCAGAGCAGCCACAGAGCCTGACAGAACCACGGAGATAAAGGTGTAGACATTTTTTTTTTCTTTTTTTGTATCTGTTCATTGGTCTCTCGCTGTCTACACACCTCCATTCTGGTTACCAGAGGTGATGTCTGAGTGAGTGGACACCTCACCACTACCCCCAGAGGGTTCTATTTTGCATGCGCACAAATCTCCTCAAAATTTAAAGGAACAGTTACCACTTAAAACCAAACAGCCACAGCCAGCCATGAGCTATTTATCACTAGGAAAAAGGCCTGAATGGAGTCTGTGGAATGGGACAGACAAACTAAAGGACACAGGCCAAAAACTAAATCCTGAGTTACCTCATAAGGACCAATAATGGCATCCTGAAATTTCTCAGGTGGCCTTGAAGGCAAGAAGCTGAAAAAGCACATTAAAATCATGCTCATATTAATATTAGGCTACAGATTTTTTTTCTACTCTTCTCTCTTTTCTGCGATTATAGCATCAAATCAGTCTTTTTTTTTTTTTTTTACTATTGCTGTTTTGTAAATTCCACAATCTAGACAAGAACCAATACCAGCTGCCATACAACAGGTAGGAAGCCAACACCTGCAGCAGTAACTCTGAGTTGAGTAAAACGAAGAGTGAAAAAGGAAGCCTATATCCTCAGCACATCGACCTGGAGGTATTCAGAAAACAAAAATAACACCAAAACACACACTCATCTACATATTAAGGCCATAGCTAACTACTGAATATGCTGAAGAAACAGATTACCTTATCAGCACATGTCCAGAAATGAGGTAAGTGACTGAGACAAATGAGAGGTAGACCTACACTCCACACAGGATGGAGGTCAGGCTTAGGACATGCCTGAGAAGGAATTCAGAAAAATGATTATAAAATGTATCAACCCATTTTACAATGGAGTTAAGAAAAATAAGGAAGAAGTCAGGAAAGTGCTATAGGAATAATGAAATAAAATAGATAAAGCATTGGAAACAATTCAAAACCTACAGAAAGAGATCCAAATGATTAAATAATAGAATATAAAAAATGGACAATACACTGAAAGGGCAAAGGAGTAGGATTGAAGAGATAGTAGCCAGAACTAGTGAGCTAGAAGACAAATCTCTCAATAATATTAAGGTAGAAGAGCAAGCAGAAAAAAGGATAAACAATTCTGAAGAAGGTCTAAGATTCATGCTGGACAACATAAAGAGGAATAATTTAAGAATTATCAACATCCCATAACAAGACTCACACAAGTCCACAGAGGAGACAGTTGAAGAGCTTCTGGAAGAAAATTTCCCTTAACATCCTGAAAAGTGAAAAGATAAGCATTCAAGAAGCTCAATGAACCCCAGGAAGGGTAGACCTACCCTAAAAGAAAATCATCAAAACATACAATAATCAAACTCTCCAAAATCAAAGATAAGGACAGATCCTGAAAGCAGCTAGGGAAAAGAGAAGTGTAACATACACAGGCAAGCAAATCAGATTAAGCTCGGATCTCTCAACAGAAACCATGCAGGCAAGAAGGTAATGGGGAGACATATATAAAACCCTGAAAGAAAAAAAACTACCAGACAAGAATCCCGCCAAAGCTGTCAATCAAATACGATGGTATAATCAAAACTTTCCAGGATAAATAGAAGCTAAGGGATTTTTCCAAAGCAAACCAAGCACTGAAAAACATCCTAAAAGGGAGTCTGTGGACTGAGAACTGTTGCAGACCGTGTGTAGACTATACAGGCCGCAGGCTCTGAGGAATAAATGAGGCCACTGGCAGTCATGGCAAATTGTTTTTAATCTTAGTATTCGGTTATGTTTATAATGAAATGCAGACATGAGCCCTTATTATCCACAGAGATTAAAGGTTTCAAGGGTTAAGCCTTTCTCCAAAAGATTAACCAAAAATATCTTAGCTACTTCCCGTGTCTGTGTTCTATAGACAAAAAAGCCATCTTCCCTGAATCTCTCCCGAGTGCAAGTTATTCAGCCAAGTTCCTGAAAACCTGGCTCAGGAAGCCGAAACAGTGGAACTCCGCCCAAGCCTTTTGTCCTTACCTCTTACCTTCCCCCAACTGAGCTCATGGGCTATAGATATGTTCATTGAGCCTGAGAAACCAAGTTGCGGGCCTAGGATTCGAACCAGGGAAGTACGATGTAAAGTTATCTGAATGTCTGGAAAATTACTGATGTTAGCTGTATCCTGTTTTAGTCCCTCCCAGCTTGGTGTGAAGCTCCTCCCCTAAATAAAACAGAGGCCCAGGTCGGCCCAGGTGTGCATTACAGGTTGGAGGGCATGCAGTAAAGATTGCAGTGCATTACAGGTTGGAGGGCATGCAGTAAAGATTGCAGGGCAGTGAGTTGCTGCCTGCAGAGGCCACAATGCCTGTAGTCCCAAGTCTGCCCATCAGTGATGTATCCACCCTGGCTTTGGGGTGTCTCTTTGTCTCCTTCCTTCTGTCTGTCTGTGTATTCTTTCGCTATCCCTATCGCCGCCGGATATGCCCTCCTCATGAACCAAACACTCGTGAACCAAGTTCCTATGTCGAGGACCGTCCCCAACAGAGAACCAACAAGAACAAACAACAACCAAAGACTGACATACGTGGCAGCACAACCTGGAACTCAATCACAGATGGAAGAGTCGAGAATAGAACAAAACTGTAAGAACAAATTCAAAGGATCTGGGAGGTCAGTCTATGATCAAAACAATTACAATGTGAAAGACGGTAAACACATAGGAACAGAGATCCAGGTGGTGAGAAGGTCAGGTAGATTACAGGATAAAACAACCTGTCTTAAATGGAGGGAAAAGTTAATGGAATATAAGGTAACCAATACAGTGGGGCTGGGGTGAGGGGGTTAGGGAGAGGTGGACAGAGGCAACAGTAGAGCAAAGGATAGAGGGCAGACACATCATAGATCAGGTATAGGGAGGGCAATACAAGAAGGTGGAGTGGGTGGAAGAATAAGGTAGATAGAGGAACACTGAGACAGGTTTGCATAGGCTATATGGGACAGAGGTAAACAGTGATGTATGCTCAACCTTGGACCTACAGAGCTCTGTGATATAGGATCTACACATAGTTAGAAGAGGGGAAATAATACTAAGATGCTTGACTATCTTATATTGGTTTCCCTTGCCTACTATAGTAAAATAGACACTTGAGTGGGCTAGAAAGAAATGTCGGGAAACATGATTACAGAAAGCTTGTATGCCCATCTTCATACAATATCTGACTGCAATACCTAAAAGGGGCTCTAAAACTTGCCCAGGGATATAGGCCTCTTGCAGAGCCTTTGCAGTGTATAGGATCTTAGGTGGACTCCTGAGTCCCATCCAAAACCTTATGAGGTGGGACATTCTCACTAGAAAGGACATTCAGACCAGCCTAGAACAGCTACAACAACAGAGATACATCTTCAAAGAAAGATCATCAGGAAAAACCCCAAACAAAAATGTCAGTATGACTGGCTACTACAAGAATAAGCAAGTTGTTCGCCAGGTAGCCATCAACGCTAGCAATCAAGTTTCCTTCGGGATAAACACCCTCTAAGACTGAAACTCAAAGGGAACAACATGAGCAGACTTGTAAGCTTGCTGGCAACCACACTGATCTACACTGGTGAGTAGAAGAGGGGGAAAGGCAGAAATGAAGAAATGGGCTGAGTTCAACCAGTCTTTTGACATCTGTTGATCTGGAGATGAGAGAGAAAAGAGGAAGGGCTGGTTGGTCCAAAGTGTGATAAGACCTTGGGATACTTGAGCCCATGGACAAGGACATAGCCACAGAGGGCTGGAGCTGAGAGTGACGCATACAGCTGATATGAAGTGAGGGGAGAGACACAAGAACATGCAGACTTGCAGATTGTACCCATGGTTTGATAATCAGAACTTGAGACTAGAGTAAGAGTTAAAAAAAAAAATTTTTTTTGACATAGGAAACAAGGGTAAATTGCTACAATTTGATGAACTTGACCTATACTCATGGAGGTAACTCTGACTACTAACAGGGAGGGGAGGAGTCTTCACATCAAGTATCAATGCTATCCCCTCTGTACACAGAGTAGATAGGGATGGGCAACTTAGACATTGGCTACCTAAATTGAGGGGGCAATAAGGCATGAAGTGACTGGCTTACAAGGTTTCAAGAGGGAGTTTAATTTAAGAGTATGG